TTTTTTTTTTTTTTTTGCATTTTCTCTCTTCTCGTTCACATCCCCCGCGCGGATTTGTATATCTCGAAATATCGACGCGCGCGTAATCATCGCGCGCGGCTTTATTACGAGACTTACCTGAATGGTGAATTGTCTGCACATCGGCTTGTAGGCATTTGTGCCGCAAACGAGAAACTTGTCGGGACCCTGTCTGCCGAAAACTCGCACGTAGTTCTGGCACTGGTCCTCGTCGCGACCTTTCAATTCGCAAAGCTCAAGATGCGCCACAGAACTGGACCATAGCAGTCTCTGAAACAAGCAAGATCGAAGCAAACATTATAGGTATCTCTGCTTACTCGTCGTCCTCCTCCGGTCGACTTGGCGTCACGTATACCATGAAGTACGCAAGTTTGTGTAGCAAAATCCGATTAGCGGTCGACCGAAGATTAATGCTCTTGTACGAAAATCGAAATGATTTAAACAGATCTTAATCCCTTTGCCTTTCACAAGAAGAAGGAGAGAGAGAGAGAGAGAGAGAGACAGAGAGAAAGCAATCGTATCGATTCACAACGTCCCGCCGTTCTCTCGCGCAGTTTTTTGCGCGAGAAAAAGGCCTCGCGCGAGATTTAATAATTCCTTCGAACCGCAGTAATTTCACGAGTTACCGGCCCGGTTCGGCAGATTTAGAGCCGGATCCGCGCGAAAAAATGTAAAAGTCGCTCTTTAATGTTTAAAGAGTCGACTTTTACGATATAATTTATTATATCTCGCGTAAAGCCGTACGCGAACGGTATTAAGTGTAACGCGACGTTAAATCTCTTTGAATTGTCGCGATTCCGACGAGAGAGAAATGAGAATAAATGAATATAGTGCGCACGCCCGCAAGAGCGGTTGAATTTTAATCCGACAACGTTCGCCGTGATAATAATGACGACGTAGTACCTTCCTCTCTCTCTCTCTCTCCTTTTTTTCTCACTCTCTTCGTTCTTCGGGCGCGCGCATTATTATGCAGTCCGGGAGGATAACATACCGTATTATTATTCTTTACATTGAAATGCATTGACGAATAACGATCTTTGCGCTGGCGGCAAGAGAGGGAGGGGCCCCCCCACATTTCCTGACTTCGATCCCGACATCGGGAGTACATTCAGCTTCCCTCAGATATGCATCAAAGTCATATCCGCTCATCTTATACATATACGACTACTTCCTCTCTCCGATAAGGAAGAGATGAGTAATAAATAATTTTTCCCCGCGCTCAAACTGCGGAGTTTCTCTTTTATTTTTTTTTTTTGCCAAGACGGCAAACAGGTTTTTTAATCGGATTTTGCAGTTTAAAAAAATAGAACCACGCAAAGGTTCACGAGTAGAGAATTTTAACCCGCAAAAAAAAGTTGGAGAAAGACAGAGTTAGACTAGATATCGGTACTGGAATGTTTATCGCGTTTTTTTTAAAGGTCGACGTGATGTAACGTTGAAATTAGAGACGCGTAGCAAATTGGGACCACCGCCGTGAAAAAGTTCACAAATAAGCAAACGAAAACGAGAAGAAGAGAGGCGGAGAGAGACCCTCTTGACCGCGCGTACAAAAGCTCGCGAACGGAAAATAGAGCATTGAATGTAAAAGAAGAAGAAAAAAAAAAAGGCAAAAATCACGAGAGAAAAGGTCAACCGCAATTCTAATTATGGGACGTTATTATCCGCGTTCGTTTTTAACAAAAATCAAATGTCGCTTGCCGTGACTCGGTCGGGTTCTCTCTCCAGTCCCCCCCCGTGTTGAAACCGACCGGAGAGCTCGTAGCCTCGAGGCAGCGTTAAAAGACACGGACTATACGAAACAACAAGAATGAGAGGAGCGACGACGACGGAGAAGGGTATAAGAACAGGTAAGATAGGTAGGTAGGTAGGTAGGTTACGACAGGGAGCTGCAGCTGCATACTGCCAGGCAGAAATCCTTGAACAAGCTATTCAACTCGTTTTCCCCGGCGCTATACACGTTATATCGTTACGACGTCTCATGGCCAACCGGGAAATTCTAGTTTTCTCGATAATTTTCGGTCGGTCACGCCTCGACGAGAGATGCGCTCTCGCTAAGCCGCGCCCGTTCTCGTAAAGAATTTTCTTTCGCCGGCGCGCGTTTCTCTCGGCGAAATGTGCGAACGTAAATGCGTTACCTTCAATGTTTGTTACTTTGACGCAAACAAGCGGAAACAAACGCAACTATAAAAATACAAAAATCTAAGTAAGAGACAGATGTTTATATGCGGAATAACAAACAAGAATTGTTATCACAAATTCAGATACTAGAATATTAATTAATTTTAACGATTTAAATACTTCCGCTGTTTTTTTCACGTCGTTTCCGTATATTTAGAAAAAAAAAAAAAAAAAAATACAAAAAAAAAGAAAAAGAGCACGAAAACGCAATCGATCCTTGCGGTGATATTCCAGGTGTTTTATTTCGATGAGTTTTTGACGACATCATCTCGACATTGTCACGTCGAGCTATGATATTTTCGCGATTTTGTTTTCGCCGGAAACGGTGCGACGATAGATTTTATCGGCCATAACGAATTAGATAGTAATTCGAAGCGATAGCTCGATCGGGAAATTGGGTAACGAGAGTACATTTAGCACCGATAGAGAAATCAAATTATGTTCCGAGGAAAGCGAATTATTCGCGAGCGCGTGTCGTTATCCGAACGGATCAAATCCAGAAATCTAATTCCGTACTCTCGGTTAAATTTCTAAAAATAATAATACCGACAATACCAAACAAATAGAGCGTGAAATTTTTTTCTGTTTCCCTTCTTTGTCACTGAGAGAACGTGATTAACGATTGTGTGAAAAAATAAATAAATAAATAAATAAATAAATGAATTGCCGTTGAAAATATAAAATGAAAAGTGTCAAAAGTCGTCGACCTTTTCAGAAAAAAAAAAAAAAAAAAAAAACCGACTAACCCACTGACTCCGATCGCACAATTAATGATACGACTTAATCGTCGCTCGAGCTCACGTGTGATTCTTAATTAATTTCCGGTCGCGTATCTCCGAATGATTTCTTGCCCGCGTATATAACAGGCGCGCGGCCCGGTATAGCGACGACGAAGGAGGCCAATTAAGAAGAGCCCGAACGGAATTTCGGGGCACGGATTGTGATTCGGGGAACAGCCGCGTGATGTATTCCGCTCTTTTTGTCCTAATTAGAATACGGTTCTGAGAATTCGGTTGTCGGGAGTGCGGGGAGGGAGAGAGAGAGACTCTAGGACTAGCTTCCGGAAGCGCGGAAGCAGAAACAGCGAGCGGCGAGTTACAAGCGCGCGACGACTGAAAACTTTCGGCCGCAAAATCGCGCTGCATATTCATCGGGTAATACGATTTCGCCAGTTTCGAGACCCACCGCCGCCGTCGCCGCTTCTGCCGCCGCCGCCGCCGCGCGCTTTGGAGCCGATTTTACGGCTTTAACCCGCGGATAAATTCGACTCCGCGACACCCGCGTAACGGGCGGGCGCAATGTGGCGCAGTTGCGGCCGCAGAAACTTCTCGCCGCATTTTTTGTTCCCGCCTTTGTTCCGTCGGGTTTGATTCGGATATTCCGGAGCTTGGATATCTCTTCTCTGTCAGCTGTAACTTTCCTGACGGACGGTGAAAGCGGAAAAAGAGAGGAGGGCGGAGGAGAGGAAGAAGAACCCCTCCCGAGACGTGCTCATCCGCGCGGATGTAAAAGGGAAGGAGATTTCGTCCGACAGGAGGACGAGGAGGTCCTCCTTTATATTCGTTTTTCTACAGAATTAAGTAATCCGCTTTTTGCAATCGATCAAAGTTTCTTTCGCGAGCCGGGGCAAGTTTTAATTAAAACGCGTGAGCAGAAGCCGATCTCTCTCTCGAGAGAGAGAGATCCGGAGAACGAGATGAAGCATCCGAATCCACGTGTATATCCTTCGATCTGTTTGAAGAAAACACACTCGTTTTTCCTTCGATTCGTTTTCGAGCTGCTTCTCGCGAATTGATATCTCCGGAGAGCAAAGTGTACGCGATTTCCCGATTTTAATTCAAAGCTCTCTCTCTCTCTCTCTCTCTCCCACCTCATTTCCGAAACGAAGGCTCGACGCCTTTGTCGCGTAACGAACTCAATCTTGAAGTTTTCTCCGAGTATTTCAACCGCGTTGTATCTCCGCTGCGCTCCTTCCCGCGCGCGCGCTCGCGCGCTCGCTCGCGAGGAAACCGTTTTACAGTTGCGGGTAAATCCAAAAGTTTTTAACGAAGCAACTTAAATATCCCCTTCAGCCGAAACATCAAGAAACGAGATAAAGAGAAATTCAAGGCTATTGTGCCAAGGAAGCGTGGCGCGCGCGGCTAGAGGCGCCGCGAAACATTTGTACTTACCGCGGCGAAAGCAGGGGATGGTACAACGTGTTATTTACGACTGCAGTCAAGTTGTTCGGCAAATAAATTCGGCTATAGACATTAATCGCGCGGGCGGAAACTTGTTCGCGCGCGCGAGTTAGAGGCTGTGCGCGCGCGCACAGCGTCAGGTTCGGACAAAAAACGACACACCGACGAATAACGAGAGACGCCGGCGAAAACTCGTTTGTACACAAAAAGCTGAGTGCGTGCGCACTCTCGTGTAAAAAAATTTTATATTCCTATCCCTATTTTCGTATTCATGGCCGAAGGAAATTCACTTCGCCACTCCTCGCTAATAACATGCGAAAAAGGAAGGTGCGAACAAATTTCGCAAACGCGCGCCGCCGCGCGCGTAGCGTAAGAACCACGCGGGGGCCATAAATTATATCGCACCTGACGCTTAATAATACATCACTCCACGTCGGAGTAACTTACATTTGTCCCGTTTTGAATTACATTACAAAGTTTGGAATTTATAGACACCGCTAATATTCGCGAGTTCTCGCTTGCTATTTTCCAACGTATTGCACATTTCGTGTGAAATTCCGCGCGGCGTTGCTTTGCGTCGTCGGCAAAAATTTTTCACACGACAAATCAAAAAAACCGTGCGAATAATAATATAACAACCGCGCCGTCGTATTTGCGCATCAGACGTTAACATCAGTCGTTTATTATCAGTGCGATGTGAAATAAAAAAATTTACTCCAACGTATCTTAAATCGAGATTTCTGAGTTAATTTCTCCGTCCGTGTAGAATCGCGGTCTTGTGGCGGCAACTTCGGTAACTAATTTTTTTTTTTTAAGCTTTGCCACCCGCATCGAGACTCGCGTGCCATCGCTATCGTTGCCGCCGCCGCCGCCGCTTTGTCGCCATTGTGTCCCGAATGAAGTCGAGCGAGT